TCTAGACTGGAACCTCCCATCTACTACGCGTCGCGAGCCTTGAATGAAGCTCAATTGAATTACTCCACTACTGAAAAGGAGTTTCTAGTGGTTATCTTTGCTTTAAAAAAATTCAGATCAGGTGTTAAAGTTATTGTATTTTCTGATCATACAGTATTGAGGTACTTGATGACCAAGAAAGATGCAAAACTGAAGCTCATAAGGTGGATATTGCTCTTGCAAGAATTTGACTTGGAGATAATAGATAAAAGAGACTCGGAGAATTTGATAGCTGACCATTTAAGCCGCGTACCAGTTGAAGAGGAGAACGTGCCATTGAAGGATACATTCCCTGATGAACAATTATTGTTTTTAAATTCTCAATTGTCTTGGTGTACTGATTTAGTTAATTACCTAGTAACTGATAAATTACCTGCTGGTTGGTCTAAAGTGAAGAGGGACAAGTTGAAGAGCGATGCCAAATATTTCATATGGGATGACCCTTACTTATGGAAAAGATGCGCTGACCAAGTGATGAGAAGATGCGTAAGTGAAGCTGAATTTTAATCGATTTTTAACTTTTTGTCACACTTTTGCTTGTGGTGATCATTTTGGACCAAGTGAACGGTGCATAAAGTATTAGAGAGTGGATTTTACTGGCCTTCGTTGTTTGGAGATGCATATTTATTTTGTAAATCTTGTGATCAATGTCAAATGACAGGTAATATAGCCCATAGAGACCATATGCCCCAAGTCCCAATGATTTTCGTAGAAATTTTTACGTTTGGGTATAGATTTATGGGACCTTTTCCTACATCGTCTGCTTTTATATATATATATATTGTTGGTAGTTGACTGTGTTTCCAAATGGATGGAGGCTAAAGCCAGCCGGACTAATGATTGAAAGTGGTTGCAAATTTTATTAATCCAATATTTTTGTACATTTTGGAAGCCAAGAGCCATTGTTAGTGATAGGAGACGTACTTCTGCAATAAGACCATAGTTGCGCTATTTCGAAGTATGGTGTACTCCACAAGATCTTGACATTATACTACTACTGATAGAACCCGAAAATTATCTTTATTTTATCTTATTTCTTTGAGCACATTTTCTTTACTTTACTTTATTGCCTTAATTTCCTTGATTATTTTTATAAGTGAGTTAAGTTTTTAAATCATTTTCTTGGTATAAGTTAGTACATGTTAATTTTGAAGTGCATTATGAACGTGGGACCCACTAATACAGTAAGTGCGGTAAAATTTTGATGACTAGGTGAAATTTTTGCATAAAGAAATGTTATTTTATAAGGTGCTAAGGATAATTAAAGTTAGCTAGAGAGATTAGTTTTGGAAGACAAAGAGATGAGATTAAACTCTAAAAAGCCAAGTGTCGCCGGAAAACCATTGGATGTTAGACTTTGACCAAGTCTTTCTTAACTTTAACTAAAACCAAATTTGACCAAATTGTCTTCATTTAGCATCTTGTCTTGCCAAACCCTTGAGAGAAAAAACAAGAGAGAAAAGTTCATCTCAACCCCAACTTCATGCTTGAATCTTAAGTTTCAATCCACAAGCTTGCAAAAATACTCCATAAAGGTTGTTCATTATGAAAGATTAAGGGCTTGAGTGGAGAGATTTTTAGAGGAAAAGCACTAAGCTTCCATCTTCTTGGAGGTACGAAGATAATTTTGGCAAGAAACTTTCCTCTACTTTAAATATGTGCTAACTAGTGTTTAGGGTTTCAATTTTGGTAGTTTCATGAGAAAATTTCATGGTTTGAAGTTGTGATGTGAAAATTTTCAGTTTTCATGGTAAATTTCTGCCCTCATATGATGCTTGAGCTTGTCCATGTTTTGGTAGCTTTGCCATGTGAATTAGCTAGTTTTTATATGCTAGTTGACTTGCCTAAGGAAAATTTCAGCTTAGGGTTTCCAAATTCAGCTTGCTTGTGGTTGGTTTTGAGTATAAATTTGCTATAATTGGAAGGTGTTGTGGCCTTAATTATGTGTATTTGATAGCTTAAGATTTGAAGTTGCGATTGAGATTGAATTGAGAAGAGATTGGGTATTGATTTTAGGATGGAAAGTAAAGAAAACAAGGGGAAGTGCTGCTGAAAATTTTCCGCAGGAACCCTTGAGTAGTCTTGGAAAATCCATTATATCTTGGTGTAGAAAAGTCAGAATTGAGTTCTGTTTATTTCATTTGAAACTAGATTCAGGGTACTTTCAACCGTGAAAATTTCATAATTTTTCTCAATTCCTATGAATATCTATGATTTTTCAAAGTTGACTGAAATTGAATACCTATTCTATCTTTTATTGGATGAAGCAGCAATTTGAGGCTTGAATTTGACTAACTTGTGGATAGAATCTTACAAATGTGTCTTCTGAGAAATGGTAACCCTTTGATTTTCCGATGGTATAAAGTTTATCAATTTTGGACTTAAGAAACTTGAGATATTGTTTTTCAAATAGTGTTGCACAAAACTGGAAAATTCTGTTCTCTTAGAACCGTTCTTATTTTCATTTCCCACTTTAAGTTTGGAGTTGGTAAATCATTTTGGGTATGGTTTATGAGTGGAATTGAGATTTAAGTGAAAGGAAATGAATTCTTAGAAATCTTAATTTCTTCATGTATTTTGATTTTGTATTACAAGTCTTTTAATAGAGTATATGATCGCAAGACTTGAGAGAGTTCAAGAGAATGAACCAGGGTTAAAGTGAAGGTTGCAATTGATTGGCGAGTGTTCCAAGTACAGGAAAATATTTACGTGGAATGTCTCCTTGCTTGAATGACATGCTTTCTTGGTTAAAGTAATTGTTCTTGAATTGATAACCTTTGGGACGAGGATGTACTGTATCATACTCTCCTTTGTAGTTAATTTCGTGATATTGATATGAAATGAATTGCTTTGCTTGCACTTGACTTGTTAGTCACTTGGGTGATTATCCCCCCGACTTACGTGTGCTACATGTTTATTGTTGTTAGAAAATGCTAAGTACTTGATTTATCATCTCATAGGCAAGTGTATACTTTATCACAATTGACCTAACTCGACTAAACTTTTGATATCTTGTTCAAACATATACGGCCGTTTTGATATACCTGAAATCTGGCCAGAATCCGGCCGGATTTGAGGCAGTGAGCATAAAAAATTTTAAGTTTTCCCCTGTCAATCCGGCTTTGAATCCGGCCAATATTTGGTCGGATTTACTAAGAAAATTTCTGATTTTTGCAGTTTTCTTCCAATTTTCTTGTTTGATCAGGATTCTTAACCACTTGATTTTCAACTGTTTGGACTTGAAATGCTTAAAACATGATATGCTGAACTTATTTATGACTTGAACCTGTTTAGGCGAGTGTGCTCTTATGTACACTCAATTGACTTGATTTGACTAAACACTTGATATTTTATTTACGTATGAACAAGTAACTTGATTTGTATATGACCTGTTTATTGACTTGAAATATTTGGAATGCTTAAGAATGTGAATTGTTCGACATTACTTGTGACTTGATTATGGCGAGGCGAAGGTGTCCTTATTCGCACTCAACCTCCATGAATTTGAATTAATCGATCCTGTGTGTGGACTTGCATGTTTATGTGCATGGTTGTAGACCGACTGCATTCCTCTTGCAGCGGTTGAACTGTAGACCGGCTGCATTTCTCTTGTAGCCGTTGAATAGTAGACCGGCTACTACCCTCTTGTAGCAATTGAATTGTAGACCAGCTACATCTCTCTTGTAGTGGTTGAACTGGGCCTTAGACCCTATCCGAGACGTCGGGTAAGTAGAAATCAGGATTACTCATGCGTATGCGTGAATGTAGGTCGGCAACAGCTGAACTGAGCTCTCATTTGACCTTTTGCTTTAGACCAGCCTCAGAGCGGTCGGGTAAGTTGAAAATTCTTGGGTAAAGGACAAGTTCCTAACCTGTTACTCATGACTGGAAGTCATCTTTAGCATACTGATATTTCTGAATACAGAGCGTTAAGTGACAACTAACGTCTCCAATCTTTACTGCGTGAGCGTTGGATATCAGCCAACGACTCCATTACTGATTACTGAATACTTGGAATTATAAGCCATATCCCGAATTTTTTGAATATTTGGGACTATAAGTCCAACCTAGGGTTAGTGGTCGAATCGAGCCAGCAAGAGTTTGGTTGAGGAGATCGACGAACCATGGGTATTTCTTGGACGCTCAAGCCCGATAGGGGGTTGATCGATGGACGAAAATTGGTGTAAAGTGGAGATCTGCGGAAGTTATACTTTCGTGGTTGACGGAGAGTCAACGGACCTTGATCAAGCTACTATCGAAGTTACTCCTGAGAGCAACCTATATCCTTTACCATGAATGTGTTCTTTACTATATGCTTTTGCATGATCTGTCTGGCTACTTTCTTAATTAGATACTGAGTTATGATCTATTTGAGTTTGAATTGTTTCTTGATGTCTGGGTGTGCTATCTTGCTCTCTTATTTTACCTGCTTCGTTACTTGGAATCTGACTAGGCTTTTAGCTCATTCCATACCATTTGTTTTCCTTACAGGGATGAGAACATGAGAGATTGAATTGAGGAAGGTCTCGATTTCTTCTAAATTTGTTAGTTGCTCATGCGAGCACTTCAAGATGTCTAGCAGACTTGTTGGTTTGGTTTGGCAAGGTTGTATTATAGACTATGTAGACCTTGGAGGTCCAGTGTATCTAATATTGAAGGTTGTAATAAAAATCATTTTATTTGTAAATTTTCTTGATACGTGACTGAGTCCTAGCGAGAGATGGACAGGCAATTCGCCAAACCCTTGAATACGCCCTAAGGGAGATGGGGGCTGTCACAACCACGCTCAAACTAATGGTCAAGGAGGTCTCGAATAGGGAGATTAAGTCGATATTGGAGAAAATGGTTCGCCTCGATAGGAAGAATTGGAGTCAAAGGTTGGAAGATGCACTTTGGGCCTATTGGACCGCGTTTAAGACCCATCTAGGGATGTCACCCTACACATTGGTATTCGAAAAGCCATGTCACCTCCAGTAGAATTTGAGTACAATGCCTTTTGGGCAATAAAACAGTGTAATATGAATTTAGAGAAGGCTGGTGCCCATCGGAAGTTGGACTTGCAAGAATTGGAAGAGACCCGGAACGAAGCGTATGAGAACGCATTAATTTATAAGGAGAGGAGTAAGGCGTTCCATGACCAAAAAATCCCTAAAACGACCTTTGAAGTTAGTCAGAAGGTTCTCCTATACCAATCCAGACTTAAGCTATTCCCAGGTAAACTACGTTCCCGTTGGATTGGCCCTGCTATTGTTACTCCCGTCTTTCTGTATGGTGCAGTAGAAATCCAGAGCAATAAGACGGACAACAAGTTTGTGGTGAATGGACATCGTCTCAAACACTATTACGAGGGCTTTCCAAGTGGAGAAGTGGAGATGATATGTTTGGATGCACCAAATTGTTCTAATTAGCGACACCTAGTCATGTCTAGCCAAAGATAATGAGGAGGGGCTCAAGGCTGCTCAAACTTCTAGTGCTCAGGTCATGCAAATACCAGTGGTCCAATTACAAGAGCGCATGCAGGAGAATTCAAGAATCACTTCAAGCTCTTGTTTGCACGATTCAAGAACGAGTTGGTGATGACTTGAGGACCATTGAAGGATTACATAATGGAGAAACTACTCTATACACTTTCCTTCAAATGGAAGAACCAAGTGAAGACTAGTTCACGGAGCACTAGCTTGCTAATTAGGGTTTTAGTTACCATTATTAGTTGTTTGTTAGCATTAATAATTTCGGTCAATTTTCACTTCACTTTGGCCGAATTCAGAGTCTTAATTTTAGTCAATTAGTTGTTAGATATTTTCACCCTTAATGAAGGGCAAGGTCGTCCATTGGACATTCTAGGGTTTGAGTCTTGTAAGGCTATATATAGCATAGGTTTTCATTCATTAAAGGGGGGATTCAGATTTTTATAAAATATTCGTGAGTTTATTTGTGAGGCCCCAGTTCGTTCTACGTTGATATATTCATTAATTAGGCGGTAACGTTTGGTTTTGGGAGTATTTCGAAAACCCTAAGTAGGGATTAAGACTTAAACCCTAAGTTCCGGTTAAGATTGAAAACCCGTTTTTTTCCACATTTTCTTTATTAGAAAATTCCCCAGATAATTTTTATTGAGTAAATAGAGTTTTTAGATGATTTTTCTAGTATTAGTTGGTTTTTGAGAAATTAACAACGTATATCGAACGTGGGACCCACGAGTGCGAAAAGTTTGGAAAATTTCGGCCGATTAGGTTAAGTTTCGAATATTGGGTTTAATTTACCGGGTGTTAAGAGATAAGTAGAGATTGCAATTTGGATTGATATGAGAGAGAAAAGTTAGGTAGATATTTCATAAAAGGTGACAAGTGTCACCATAAGATTAACTCTTACAATAAGATTTACTATTCCATTTTTTTGACTTTTGACCCAATTGGTTAAATATCTTAAAATTAACCAAAAATCACCATTTTTCTCTTACCTTTGGCCGGCCCTCTCTCTTGCAAGAAGGAAGAAAACCTCTCTCAATTCCTTGCTCTAATCTTGCCCAAATCAACAACTTAACCGTTTAATCTTGAATTCCTTCCATAAAACCTCTTAGTTTAGTGCTTGTAAGGTGTTGTGTGGAGTTGTTTGGAAGCTTAAGGTGCTAAGTGGTCTCTCTTCTTTGGTTCTAAGGTAAGTGACTATGGAACCCCTCTCTTCTATCTAAAGATGCTTAATAAATGACTTGTGGTTGTTATGAGTGTGATTTTGTGGACTATTTCTTGATTTTAGTTAAGATTGATGAAGTTTTCTATTTATTTGGAATTTTTGCTGGTTGCATATGATCACTATGATGTGGCTATGTATGATGATTGGAAATGAGGGGTAATGACTCTAGTAAGTGCAAATGAGTGATAATTGCAAGTAATTTTGGATTTGGAGGAAATTTCAGCAACTTAGGGTTTCACCACCCCCTTTTCTGTCCGGTTTTGTATCTCCTACTTAGAGGCCGAATTGGCCTTTTCTTAAAACATGAAAGTTGTAGGTATTGATGTGTTTGAGGTGTCTGTAAAATTTCAGGTCATTTGGAGTAGTGTAGAGTGAGATATGTCGATTTTACTGTTGCTGTTCTGGGTTGATCAGAATGTGAAAACTGCACTTGTAATTGGTTGTTTTGGCTGGTATTGCTTCAGAATTAGTTGTTATGGTCTTCTAATGAAATGTAGCTTGATGTAATAACTACCATATGCCTTTGGAATTTCTGGATTTGGACTTGTGTAGGCTGAGTTATGATGTTTGCACTAGAATACGTTTTGTGAATCTGTTTTTGCGATTCTGGTATAGTATATTGCACTTTCGACCTGGTTGCACTCGAAACTAGATTGAGTAGCCTTCTTCAACATTGTAGCCCCTTGAGTCCTGTGTATGCCTGTAAAATCTCAGGTTAAACGGATTAGTGTCTCATGAGTTATAGATGAAATGCTCAAGCCTGTTTTGAACATCAGATTTGGTACGTCTTTTAGTTTAGCTTCTGCCCGTGATCTTTCGGTTTTGATACAGTACGATTTGGGTGTCAACTCCTTCATAAGAAATTTAGATCTTGGTCTCAGCTTCGAAACGGTATAAAGTACGTTGAAATCTGAGTTCCGTAGCTCCAGTTTTGATCAAAACAATATCAATCGTCAGAACTGCCCGGTATTTGGACAGTTCTGACGGGTATTTTGGCACTCGATTTTCGTTCTGTTCTGAATGGATTCAGGTCTTGGCCAAAACATGAAAGTTTTATCCTTATGTCCCAGCTTTCTAACGCCTTTGGAATTTCTTGATTTCGATTTCTGACCCATGAGTTACGGCCTTGTAAACAGGGCCTGTTTGGTAACTCGCAATGAAACAGCTGGCACAATTTCGTGCATTTTTGACCTATATCTATTGAGATCTGGGTTGAGATGTCTAAAGGGAAGTTGTAGCCCTTCCTCTTAGCTTCGCAACGGTACCTCATGTACCTTGATCCGACACTCCTAGCCTAACTTTTGACCAAAACGGTTTGAGATGGCAGATTTGGCCGTCCCGTTTGCCGTTCCGCGCGCGCGCGTGTGCCATTTTTGTCGTTTCCGCACTTGCGCGTGCCAATTTTGCCGTTTTCCTTGTTTTAAATACGTTAATTGCCGTTTGTGATATATTGTGACACAATCTTCGATTTCAGACGGTGGTGAACTAGGCGGAGCCGGTGGGGCCCACTACTAGCCAACAAACGAAGTGATTTCCGCTTTTGTACTACTTTTGTATTTTGAGTAAGTATTCAGGCCAGTTTGGTGTGTTTTCTTTGCTATGTGTTTGAGATATGTGAAAAGGGCACTTAGGCGAGGGTGTACTTTATCGCACTCGACCTAAACCCTAATTTGAATGTATAATTGTACTTGGCATATGTATATGAATCTTTTGGAACCAAAACCCTTGAGCTTGTGGCTCGGGGCGACTTTCGAATAAAGTTTGTGAAGTTTGCAAAGTTTGTGATTTTGAATAATTTTGTGAAGTTTGTGAGTTTGGGGCGAACTCTTGACCTGGTTGGACTATTCGAGCCGGTTAGGGCTTGGTCGAAGGCAGTCCAACTTAGTCTGAGGTCACCAAGTTTGTAGGTTCATGTTATGAACCAATTTTGTAAATCCGGTTCACCGAGAAGGTGACCAAGTTTGTGACCCGAGCTTGTGACTCAAGCTCAAGTTTGTGATTTCGTTCGCCCGGGCAAGTTTGTGAGGTGACTGGCCAGTGAGGGTGAAAAGTGTCGGTGGGTGTACAAGTGAAGTTCTACGGACTATTATTTGCAGTCGACGGAGTGTCGGCAGGAGATCACGCATGGCACATGAGTTGGCTTTGGAGCCACCTGTATCCTTATTATGTGATGTTACTTTTCTGCTTTTGCTTTACTCTTATTGTGTAACTGTTACGTGAAATTTATGCTTTCGCCCCTGTTTACTTACTAAGCATATAGCTTACCCCATTCCTTTTGTTTTCCTTAGCAGGGGCCGACGCGGGGACTTTTGGCTCGTATACTAGTATAGTAAGATTGGCTTGTAATAGTTGAACAGTTAGGATGTTTGTTTTTGTTTTGGTGGTTTGACTCGATACTTTTGGAGAATGTAATTATAACTCTTTTTGGGATTTGTATATAGTATGTAAGGTACTCTTTTGGATTTTCTGGTTTTTATCGCTTTAAGGTTTGAGTCCTGGCGCGAGCTAGGCAGGCGGCCCGCCGATACCCTTGGGTTCGCCCTTGGGAGAAGTGGGGTCGTCACAGTTGGTATCAGAGCTTAGGCTTCAGATTCCTGTAGTGTATCCTAGGCTTGAAGTTTAGGATGCCGGACTGTGGGATTCGATTTGATTTGAAAGTTAAGCAATTGAGGGATAAAACCTAGAGCCTGCTTCGCGTGGTCTCCGCGCGGAGTGAGCTTGGGCTGAGTGGTGAATGGGTATGAAGGATTAAGTGCTCGTTCGAGCATAAGCTATGAACTCTGAAGTGTTATAGGTCTTCAATCTTTCTCATGGTATCTAAGAACCATAGATAGGTATGTCGGGTAGGAAGTTCGATTTGTAGATGGTTTACTCTTGGGACTGGCCAGCTCGAGATGTGAACTATCTTATTTCGGATTCTTGTGCCCGAATACTCCAGAATTGAGGCGATGCAAGCTACTAGGTACTTGAGACTTGTATTTTGGAAACATGAACAGGCTTTGCCTGACTAGAATGCGTACAAAGGTCAATGGACATCCAGTTTGGATAGTAAGGGACGTGAGAGATCAGACGGGCTGATACTGGGACGACTTCACCTTTTCCTTTTGGTTCGCCCGTGTATTACGACCACCTAACGTTAGTATATGCGTTGTGTACATGGTTATCTGTCCAACTTGATATGTATTTGTATACTTGCTTGTCCGTCTTTTGATATGGCGTGTTATGTGTGATATGTTATTTGTGTAATTGGTATGTTGGATTTTGTTATTGTAGTCAATTTACTGTATTCATTCATTAAAGTACCTTTTTGGAAAGAAAAGAGGGAGAAGGGAAAATATATATATATATATGTGTGTATATATGTGGAAGGAACACATAGTCGCGGACATGGTCATAACTGTGGAACAAAACGAGGCCGAGAGTCAAGAGAAGAAAGGGAGGAAACAATAGCTGAACAAAACATGGACCGAGAATGCCACTTGTGTTCAAGAATTGATTATGACCCATTGTTTTGCCCGACAGGCTACTGGTTACTTTAGATTTGATAGATTTCGTTCATAGAAATTTCGAGGACGAAATTGTCCTAAGTGGGGGAGATTGTGAGGCCCCAGTTCGTTCTACGTTGATATATTCATTAATTAGGCGGTAACGTTTGGTTTTGGGAGTATTTCGAAAACCCTAAGTAGGGATTAAGACTTAAACCCTAAGTTCCGGT